ACACTTAATGCACAAACGGAGAGATGGAAACACGTTTGCTGAATAAGTTGTGACGTAGCAAACATTTACCTCACGTAGCTGATCAGCTGTTCCCCGGTACCGGTACCAGTTTTGGGTCGGCTGCAGCAGCGACTGGCAGCAGAACCCTCCTCCTGCTGTTTGTCTTCTCAGTAATCCCGTAACGTGAAGAAAATTGCATTTCTTTCTCTACGTCTCCAGACAGCAGTAACATCACCAAAACTAGTTGATGACAGAATAATTACAACTTTCCTGATAGCAGCAACACGTTCCTGATAATTTCTCTCCGTTATCCTGAGATGTGTGGACCCTGCCAGTTTAGCGACGGTTACTTCCTGTTTACTACGCACATGCATATGACCTAATTGATTCGCTTCAAGCCACTTGATGGAAACTGTCTGATTCTCATTTCTTAATTTTTTCCTTTTTTGCGAATTTATTAAAATTCGCTCAAAATTTGAATTAAAATTGGATGTAATTGGATGGAAACACGATTTATGACTCAGCACCCTGTGAGCAAAAGGTGTGAATCAAGGCCCCAACGATACCCAATACAAAGAGGGAAAGAGGGACAAAAACAAGGGGACTTTGAACCCCCGCTTGCATTCACTACATTCACATAACAAAACACAGGTCAGGTGATGGGGCACATGACGCTCTATGAACAATAAAGCTAATCAAGCCTACTGTTAGGTGATGGCACTCTTTTGCGTGTGACTAACCTGTTTGTCCATGTGGAGGCGGAGCTTATAAGGCTGAGTTCACCTGAAACTCATCAGACTGAAGAAGTCTCTCGGAGGAGAGACGAAACGTTTCACTAAAGAAGAACCATCCAGAGGACCTACTTGTCAGTGTGCATTGCCAATGAACACTATTGTGATTCGTTTCCCATCCAAGTCATCTCAAATTTCGCATGCTTCTCCTCCTGCATACTTTGCCCTTGAGCTGCCATTGTAATTTATATCTGTAAAGCCGCTGTGCCAAATGATGGCTATGCCTTTTGGTGCCTGTAAAACATGTTCACATGTCTATACGAGCAATACAGTGGCTGCTTTTTGATGGAGCTGCTCACAACAGATCTTGATACAGATCGTGACTCTGTTATGATAACATTAAGACTTGCTCCTCATATTACTGACTTTTATGTATGTATATAAAGTATGTGCATATATATTATATATACATACACACACATATATATACATATATATACACATATATAGAGTATATGTATGTATGTGAATTTATATATACGTATGTATGTATGTGTATTTACATGTATGTGTATGTATATAT